CTTTATATTTGATGTAACGCTCTCTTCCCTCTTTACTGAATAGCAAGAAGATACGTGCACAGTGTGTCCCTAGAAGCTGGAAGCAGTTTCTTCTTGGTGAGAGGGTTAAGTGTAACTCAAAGTTTCAGTTGTCATAAAGATAAAAAGGTTATATTTTTCCTTTTTGGAAGTGAAACATTATCATCTGTACGGCATGCACAGAAGCAAATAGTTAATATGAGTACATGGTGTGACCACAGTTAAAAAAAAGCTCTCAAGAGCATTAAGAAAACTTGTAAGATTGACCTGGAAAGATGTATTTAGTTCTTTTAAAGAAAGAGTAAATAAGAAAGCCACCTCAGATTCTTCATTCCTACCGGTCTACTGCTATGTCATTCTGACTTCTGTTATTGAGGGTTCTGTGGTCCATGTTACAGCCAGTGTATTATTATCCCTTCTTACCTTCAGTATACTTCTTTTGCCAAACTGGAAGGGAGAGAACTCTTCTGGAAAACTTTTTATGGGCTGATGTTTGTGCCTTAGTCATATTTTCTCTGTTCCTGTTGTTCTGCTCCATGTACCCTTTTCCCCCTATATTTTTTTTGTCCTTTACAATGGCAGATCATCCCACTCCACTTTCACCTGCTCCCAGACAGGCATTGGACTCTTGCTGACGGAGAGTGCAGCTGGGAGCACTGCCTGTCTCCCGCTCTTCTGAATTTTGCTTTTGGAGCTCACCACAGATGTTTTGGACCTCATACATAATGAAACTTTTTTTCTCTTCTGAGGCAGGCTTCCATATGTGTAAGAGGCACACAGTCTGGCACGCTTAGACTTGTGTCTTTTCTACTTGTTCTAAGTAAGCCTTGAGAGACTTTTTTGCCATCGTGTGGGACTTCTTAATAGCTTGCAGAGCTCAATAGTATCTTGGTGCCAGAAGTAGAAACCTGTTTTTTTTCCTTAGGGAATGTTATATACACTAAGAGAATGAAGCTAAGGTATTGCTAGACAAAGGAAAAGAAACGAAGCTAAAGCACTCCAGGAATCGATGAAAACCTCTTACTTTAGGAAGGTGGTCTTCTAATAAAAGTACAATAGGTATGTTCTAACTGGATTTACAGGTACCTTGGGGTGGCCGGCTATGACTTTATTTCTTACTAGGAGTGTTTGGATTTTTTTTTAATGAGTTTCACTCTGCAGTGTGTTTAGAGTTCAGTGATAAACTCTGTACCGAAATGTACCCAGTACTTTATGTAAGAGCTAATCAGCAGCATTTTCAAATATCAGGCAGTAGACATTCTAGGTACCTTTGTACATTGCATTTTTAGTCTCCATGTTACAGTAGGCATAAAAACAGGTACTTTTGTGGAGATCTGTTTCAGTGGTCTTGCTGTTCATGTATTCTGATTTTCTGTTGCGTATGAAAGCTGCCTGCCGCACAACAGAATGCTTTGGGAGCTGATGATGTATAATGCATACAAGAAAAAAAAAAACAATGGAAGTATATTTATACCAGTAGCTTCAGCAGCTGATTTGGCTCCCCACAAAAAAGAATATGTTGGGGCCATATGAGGTTATATTTCTTGAAGAGAGAAGGGAAAAATGTCTTGAACTGAATTGGGTTCTGATGAGGAAAAATTTTTTACTGGTATGTTGCTCCTCTATTTTGCATGTTGCTAGTGTAGTAGGTTTACTTACTAGATAGCAACAATGAATCAAAAGTACTTTAAAAATACTTGAAAAATGAATCAAATATACTTTGGGATTCAAGTGCTTGAAAGAATAGTTCTCTCTCAGAAAAAAAAGTGCTGGTGTCAGATGAGACACTCTTGGGTGTCAGAGCTGGGGCTCTGAGGAGTGGGTAGAGCAGCTGAAGTCTTTCCAGTAGAGATTAACTCCAGAAAAGGTGCGGGAAGGCAGTGGCGATTGACAACACAAAATGTGATCATAGGATCCTTTGAGCTGCATAGATCAGGAGGCCTCTTACTTGGTCCTCCTGCCCTGAACAAGGTCTCCTGAGAGGTCTGTCTAGATAGGTCAGGGTTTCTTCCAGTTAGGCTTTTAATGCCTCCGAGCATGGAAGCTGGCAAAGCCTCTCCAGATTCCATTGCTTGACCAATTTCACAGTACAAAAGTTCTTCCCTGTTTTCAGCCTGAACTTGTCATATTTCAGCTTACTGTTGTGTGTTGTCTTCCCATCACACACCACTGTGAGCAGCCTGGCTCTGATTTCTCGGTAACCTCTCTCAGGGCTGGAGAAGCTGCTGTTGCCAAGCTCAGTCTCCTCAGCCTCTTCTCACAGGGCTGATGCTTCAGCTCCTCAGTTATCATGGTGGTCTTCCTCCTACATCTGTCTGTGTTGCTGCAGGGCTCAGCAGGCTGAGGAGTGATGGGAGGCCTGGCTGTGATTATTGGGGCTGTCGTATGTAGGTCCAGTGTAAGGTTGGTGCTGCAAGAGCATGCGTGATGCTACTCTCTCACCAAGCCTGCCTGAAGTGTGTAGACAGTTCTGCTGGCCTTCAACTGGAAGCACTGACAGGAGCTGGCTCTGTTGCCTGGCCTGGTCTTGGCTTTCGTAGTAGGTTCCTGTATTGATGGTGTGGCATTACTGATTTCAGGAAATAATTTAGGGAAATCTTAACTTGGATTCAAAAATTAGGACATAGTTTGAATGATGTAAGATGTTAAAATGCTGTGGAGTTTCTTTTAGTTTTCTGTGTGGTTTTTGAGTGGCTGAGATGTACGCTTTAAGCATTTAGCCATAAGAGTGAGGGGGTGTGTATATATATATGTATATAAATATATATTTAGTCTTAAGAATCATTAGTTGTCTTTCAACTGCACAACTGCAGGAAGTAGGTCTTTAAGAACGACACCAAATGTCATGAAATTTGTGATGTCATAATCAAATTAAGCCACATTAGCAAGATCAAGGTCTATTGCTTTTTTACATAGTTCAAACTTCTGTAAAGTAAATACTCGTATGATGAGGGTGTTGGTTTTTCTTTTATATAAGGAAGCATGTTTGTCAAGTTCTAAAATGGTAGTTGCTTGGCACAGCTGTTAAGGTGTTGAGCAGAGGAGCATATACATTAATACTCTGAAATACACACTTGGAAGTGGGCATTGAGATGAATCACCCTGCCATGATATAAATTGCTTGGCAAATAAAGCAGCATCTAGTTTCTGCAGAAAGTATGGTTTTGTAGTCTGCATAGATACAGTTAAATTTAATATTTTACGTATTGCATGTAAGTTAAATGTGAAAATATATTCTATTTATAAAATGTAAATCAGTTTTTATTTACACGTCTATCTGTCCAAGACAAGCATTCTTTGAAGTAAATCTCACTCTGTAATAACTTCTGAAGATTGAATTCTTAGGTTTTTCAAACCTTGCAGTTGTCAACTCATGTGTGAGCGGGGCAGCATGCATTCCTGTCTCTGCAAGGTTTGAATCACCGAGATGCTGCAGATGAGAATGATTCTCCTCCAGTATGCTGAGTTCGGCCTCGCAAGCTGCAGGATGGGTTTTTACCAAGATTGCAGCTTTGTAGAGGTCTTTCTGTTGTTAAAAAGCACAGCCAGACTTCAGCCATCAATTAGTCTTACCTGGAGCTAGATTCAGACTTGCGATGTTGATTCCATCTCTGGCTTCCTGAACACTGTCTTGTGTCCTTAGGAAATCTGCAATCTGAATTAACAGGCTGCACAATTACAGAGTGAGGCACTGGCACTCTCTATGCTGGAAAACAACTCCTGTAAGAAATAATCCACAGCATGTTTCAGAAATGGTTATGTTACACCTATGTGTGTGTATATGCACTCATGTGTGTATATATGTATATGTATACACATACTTCTGAACATATGTTATGTTATTTCACAGGCTACGTGACTTGTAAGTCAAAAAGCAGGTGTCTGTCCTTTTCACACTGCTGAAATGCACGGGGTGTACAGTTCAAAACAATACTGCCATCCTGCTTTACAATGCAGATAACTTCTTTTCTTTTATAGTTTGCTTCACTGTATAGAGAGCAGTTTGTAATATATATGCAGGCTCCTTGATCTGTTGCTTTTTCCACAGTGGTGCAGGGCAGTTCCCTGACAAAAGCTGTCATTCTGTGCAGCACAATCATGAAGCTAATGGATTGAGAAATATCTAGCAGTGTTGCAATAAAAGGCACAGAGAAAGAATAAAATCTTTGTACAAGCAGCTGATTGAGAATTGCCGCCCTTGCACAGTTAAAATGTGTTCACTAAAGAACGTCTTGTGCTTTCCTGCCTACTCTCTGATACAGGACCCAGTTTTTAAAAGTGGATGTTTCTGTAAATCTTTTATTCTTTGACTTTTACTTGTGTACGAGGGCTGCTCTGAAAGTAATGCCTCCTCTTTTATTCTGTCGGTCCACAGCGTCAAAGGTGAATGTTAGTGTTATGGCCCTAGAGGTTGAACCTTCCCACAAACATTTCATTGTATTTTGTTGCCATGTGACAGATGGCAGCAGAGGGGCAGTCTGACAAAATGATGTCTGACATGGAAGTGTGCGTGAAGCAAAGGTGTGTCATTGAATTCCTCCATGTGGAAGAAATGGCACCCACTGACATTCGTTGATGCTTGCTTGGATGTTTATGGATGTGAGCACAGTGGGTCATTTCCACTGGTGCTGATTTTTACGCCCATGGCATGCAAGATCTTGTTTATCACTGGCGAAAATGCTTAGCTAATCATGGTGGCCATGTTGGAAAGTACTGTTTTATAGCTGAGAACTTGCTGTGTCAAATACTGTTATTATGCTCTTCATCTCTGTTGATGTTTCCATGGAAATAAATAGGAGTTATTACTTTTGGAGCAGCCTATGTACTTAATTCTGTGTATATCTGAGATCTAAATGCAGTGTTCAGATATCTTTTTTATGGCTAACACAAAAGACAGGAAAAAGACAGCTCTCATATATGGTTTCTGCTTCACTTGATGTATGTTTCTGTGATTCTTCATGGCAAATTTTTTTTTTTTTCAGTGTCTCAGCCTGGATGTAGCCCAGATGTGTGAAATACACAGCAGCAGAATTTGAGTTTTCAAGTGAAATAGCTTTTCTTTGTCTGAATCATTCTTCAAAATGCAAGATCAGAAGTTTCCTACTACGTCATCTTCAAGACTCACAGAAAATTCTCCTGCAACTTGTGGTAAGATGAAAAAATAACAAGACAACTGAGTTGCAAAGTAGAAGTTTAAAGGAAATGTGAAGGTATAGTTCTAGGTCAGGAAAGAAGATAGTGTTTGTGAATTGACCTCTGTGCTGAAATGTTTTTCAGAGCAATTCCATGTAAGAAATTTTCTATGCCTTATTTCTTCATGTAAAGAAAACTGGAACAGCAGTAAGCCCACATTAATTACCAGGACTACGTATTGCAATAAATATTGTTTAATAAATATTCAAAAATGAAAATATACATTGGCTTTTCTATTTCTGATAGTGTATTTCCAAACAAGGAAGTATATAGTGTTCAGTGTGAGTTAGGACAGCATGAGTCACTAACTAATACAGTAAATTTTGGCTTGCTTCATTCCTAAGAAATAGCTGAATTTTTTGTACTTCCAGTTTATTTTTCTACTGCTGTATGATATAGAGATGTCATCAGAATACTTTCTCTTTGACTGTAATATGGAGTACTTTCCAAAGGGTAGCAGTACTTTCTTATATTATTCCTTTTTCTCCTGCTTCTCTTTCAAGTCATATATATAATTAAAATTTATAGAGTGACTTCGGTTGGAGGAGACCTTAAAGATCATCTAGTTCCATATTCCCTGCTGTGGGCAGGGTTGGCAGCCATTAGATCAGGCTGCCCAGTGCCCCATCCAGCCTGGCTTTGAATGCCTCCAGAAATGGGGCATCCACAGCTTCTCTGGGCAGACTGTGCTAGCAGCAAAGCAATATTCACGCTAAAGACCTGGTTCTCTAAATGTGTACAGTTCTTATTATTGCATTTACATTCACAGTAGTATAAAATGCTTCCTATAATAAATAATGGAATGCTCACTTTATAACCTTAGGAATTTGGCCAGGGCATACAAACAACTTATTTTTCATTTGTTTGTAGTCAGACAAGTTTATAATTAAGACAGCAGTGGGCATAAACATTCTTGCAGCCTTTGCATCTCTTCTTTCTTGCTGACATCAAAGGGAATATTTGTGGTAGGAAAGCACTGCAGTTGGTAATAAGTATTTGTGGGATAGTCGATAGTGCCTGGATTCCTTTTTTTAAAAATAAAGCTCTGGTTTTCCCCTATCGTTTGCAATGTCTGCAATGAAGGCAAAACATGCATGCTTTATTGTTGTTGTTGTTGTTGTTGTTATCATTCCAAACAATGTAGATAATATTATATCTGTACCCTTATACCACGTGCTGGGCACACCCCAGATCAACAGAGACACTAAGGAAATGGTGCAAATACTTACTAACCATTACATCAGTGTCTGATTTCTAGAAATGTCTAGTATAAACTGCTTTTATGATTCCATTGCCCTGACCTGTAGGCTGTATGGTCCAACTATATTATATATTGATATAATATTGTATCATATATTATATCAAGAACAAAATGAAACTGGAAGTGAACAGGAATCCTGATGTACTTTGTATAGCATAAGAAATATATATGGCTGATCATATGGGTGCATGCACATGTATATATAAATATATACTGTTTAGGATTTACTGTGTCTGAGGACGAAGCCGTATATGTGTGACAGACCTTGTAACTTCATGAGTTGTGCATTTTTTTGTGTCAGTCCTGACACAGATGAGCTCCACAGAGATGCCAGTCCTGGAGGGACCTTGCTGTGTGAGAAGGAGGGTTGCCAGCTAATGCAGTTTCTCTAAGTGCCATTTCAGTCTATGATTTGATTCCCAACGCTGCTTAGGTTTAAAGCACCGTGTATGTGTTGGCTTTGAAGATCATGCATTTCTACAGAAACTAGGGATGTCTTTGGAGTGTGCATCTCTACTGGAAAGGCACTGAGGGGCCAGATTTCAAGGCTTGAAAATAATTGGATGGAGTAGTAACTTCCTTGTTGGAATGTTACCAGTTTGATAGTTTCCATCTTTGATCTCTGTCTTGAATTATGTGACAGCGATGTTAAAACATCTGAGATTCGTGTCCCCCTATATTTCACGCTGAATTTAAAATGTAAATAATTCACCTTAATAATATGATTATAAAAAAATAGAGAGGAAAACTAGACCAGTTAAGAGGTTCATTGTTGTTACTGAGAAAATAGGTATTTATGGTATCTGTAATGTATGTAAGTCTAGCAATACGTTTATCTCCTGAGAACTAAGCCTCAGAATGAACTGCAAGATCAGAAACGAAACTGCAGTCTCCAGCATGGTGCGTTTATAACAGTGATCTAATCCAAGGGCTCTAATGGCATGATGTCTTGTTAAGGTTAAAGTCTTTGCAAGTTAATGTTCGTTCTCTGAAAGAAATGCTGCTAATACTAAGTCAAAGTAGTGCCCAATGATATTGCCACGAGTAATTAAAATAAGTATGCAGACAAAAGTGACAACAAATGCTAACCTGTTAGGCAGTAGAATAGTACTTTCTTGCAGTGGTTGTTTTGCATCACAGCCACCTTGGTGGTAATCTAAATTCATTCTGAAAACTGCTGTACCTTCTGTTGACAGTCTGACATTCAGCACTCTTGCTATTTGCTCATTGTTTTGGTTTTCAGTTTTTTTGGAATGCAGCTCAGAAGTCTTTCAATAAGTAAACTGACTTCAAGTACATTTACTCTGGATACTGTAGGGGGGGAGAAATTGTTCTCTGTGCTTCAAGTTTCCTTGATAGATGAGGTTCACTGACAGCAGCACTGCTCATGCTGCATTGCTCCAGGTAAAAATAGTAAGTGGTGTCAGTCAGCCTGGTCTTGTCTTACCTGTTGCAAAGTGAGGAGTGAGACATTTTGAGAAGAGATGCAAATGCAGATTCAAATTAAGTTGACTTTTTATTAAGTTGACTTATTTTTCAGTTTCTGGCCCAGGGAGCAAGAACCACTTCAGATGCTCAAACCAGCAAAGGGTAAAGGCTGCTGCCTGAAATAAATCCAGCAACTGTCCTCAGTATGTAGCTATTTTTCCTGTATGTTATGCCAAAAGAAAGACCTGTAACAAAAAGTGGCTGAGCTATAGCTATCTTCAATAATAATAATAATAATAATAATAAATAATTTGAAGATTTGAGAGACAGAAGGAGCTTGCAAGGAGTAGAGTAAGAAGGTAGTTAAATTCACTAGGTAACTTGGAGAGAAGTAAAAAGGCTGCAAAGTAAAAGTTCAATTAAAATACTTTGAAGTATTTTGGTAGCTGTTATATTCTTGCTTTTATTTTCCATAAATCTTAGAATTTTACAGATTATCAAACAGAATACCATGTATTTTCAGTCTCTTGGTAACTTCAGTACTTCCAATAATTTGTTTCTATTAGTACTTAATGAAAGTGAATTATTAAACAATGATTAGCATAATATATAATATGAGTTCTCATCACTGAAAGCTACATAGCTACCTAAAGAGGAACCTGAGACAGATAAAAATAAAATGTGTATAGTTGCTATATTTAAAACACTAGGTGTAATCTCCATGTAGGAAGTGAGGTGCTTTTTCCCACCTGTCTCATAAAACTGTTCTGGATGATTAAATAGGAACTACAGCTTTGCTCCCATTTACAAATTGGTGCCTAGCACTGATGCATGCTTCAGACAGTGTGGCTCATAAGAACCTCCCAAAAGAGGTTCATTGTTTTTCTTTAGTTTTGACCTTTAATAAGGTCAAAGGTAAGCTCTCCTCAGGTGGCCTGAGAAGGGGGATAATGTGGGTCTGCTTTTAAGAAACCAACTTCAGGGCTCTGAGATCTAGACGCGGGATATTCAGGATATGCTTCATGTATGTATTTTTAATGAATTCCCTTTTAGTGGGTGGGAATTGCTTCTGTTATGTCAAGACTCTGGAACACACAACATCAATGAAAAGTGAATGTTAGGGCATGTTATTTCTGATGTAAATGTGGAACTACTGTGGTAATAGGTGCACAGGTGGCTCTAAGTTCATAGATTCATGCGGTCTCTACTACTCTGACTTCAAATGCAGATTACAGAATAAAAGAAGGCACGATGTGTCTTTTCCCATTTTTAGATATGGCTTAGCAGCTAGAAATAAAATTCATCAGTGCCACACATGGAAGAGTTTCACAAACTGCAAGTAAGTCTGCTGTAATGGTCAACATAATCAGAAAGTACAGCTATAAAACTGGTTTTGTGTAGCCTGGGATTGGGGAACTTCCTCTCTTTTCTGCTTTTTTTTTTTTTTTTAATTTCACTTTTTTTGAGGTAAACATTATTGGATGATTAAACTGTGCCCACAAAATTGACATTCAGAAAACTGCCCCGAATAAACAGCTTTGTTTATAAATAAAAGCGTGAAGGATTAAGCAGTTCTATGTTTGTTACATTTAATTGTGCCAACTGTTTGAAGTATTGTTCTGAAGCTCTAGAATAAGGTACTGACATAAGTTGTTTTCAGTATTCACTGGATTTAAAAGTCTTGCTGTTTGCATTCTGCCATTAAATGGCTGGCATCCCAACAGTTGTGACAAATGCGTATGTTGGCAAGGAATAAAAAGTGGTGGCACCTCTGAAGTTTTACAGGAGGTGTGCTGCCCAGGGATAGTAGATGGTTTGAGCTGCTGTTCTGTTGTCTGTGCTGTAGCTAATTTCTGAAACAAAGAAATACTGGTTGTGCATTCTACTTGGTAGTCAGAACTGCTGCATTTACTTTTCTTTGAGTGTTTTCTGACACTGGGATTCTTGTGTACCCAATGCTTTTGTTGTTTTGATAATGAAAGAAGTCTGACTAGGAGCTCTCTCAGCCTTTTAGCTGCAGTAGGGACTACTTGAAAAAGCGTGACCCTCCTAAAATTCTTTCCCTCAAGAGGAAATGTCTGATTTTTAGTTTGTCTTTGATCCCATCTCATCAATGTAATTTTATTCCTTCAGACAATTGAGCCTGCAGTTCATTATAGCGCAAGACCGGAACCCTTCTATTATCGTATTTTTAGCTACAATTATTTGGAGCTTTCAAATTGCATTTGCAAAAGGAAAGGCCTGCATCAATCCCAGATCTTAGCCT